CCTATAAGCGGTAGCCTTGATGTGAACTGTCCCAGAAGACTAACGTTCCTTCTTGGGAGCATAAGATGAGCGGACGCCAACGACCACTCGCAATCCAGTGGTAAAAAAAATGGGTCTACAATAGTCTGTATCATTCCTGATCCCGAATTTACGTTCAGAACATCTGAGTTATCAGCATTATATTGTTTTGCCGGAAGTGATCGCGTAGAATTACACCGCGGCTGGATATATCTAAGCACATAATAAACAGAGAGTTTCAAATCAGCGACACCGCCGAGCTTGGTGATGTGGGGCTGAGTTTCTCCCTATGCCTGCTTGTTTTGTTTTAGCACCGTAGAAGGCTGTTGACAGATTTTTGAAACAAAATCACCGTACGGCCATGGACGTTACGCAAGGTGGTAGTAAGGGGCCACGACAGGGAGAGGAGAGTCGCATCAACCTATTCCCCAACAGGGAAAGTATCGACTACCTCCGTCAAGAGCAAAAATCCTAGAAAGGGAAATCGTTAAGCAAAAACACAAGAAAACAAAACAAAAACAACTCAGGTGTGAGTAACTCGCTCGGTATAATCATTAAAGGAAATATTTCGCACTGGAAGATATCAAGGCAAGGTTCATTTATGATGAAGCAAACTCACTTATATTTATTGGTGTAACTTTTTAGTGGAAAATACTGCCTTAAACAACACAATTCCCCAGTTAGTAAATATTTCCTTCAGTGCATTGTGGTTTGATTACGTCATCGTACCTTGCACAAGATTGACTGAGAGCCATTTGTATGGAAATGTGGAGCATATGCGAAAATCACGCTTAAGAATGCCAGATATGAACGCCTCGACAATTAATTTGTATTTGCCTTGATCGTTGGACGGCTCATGGAATGCCAGGGTTTGAATAACGACACTATGTCGTCATGAATGGAACATGACAATAAAATACTCTCCCTCATATACATTTCCCCATTTTTTGCGAGCGTGTAGCTCGAAACTGCAGAGCCTCGGGTTTTAGGAAGGCACACCCGAGATTTCCTCGTTTTCAGGAGGAGTGTTGACCTAAACAAAAGACCATTCCAAACACTGTTCGTTGCCGGTAGTATCCAAGCGCGCGAAGACGTACCAATGGCAAGCGAGTATAATTATGTTGGCTACATCGGGGCGATGAACACTTCGTAGCCTTTAAATTTGGAACAAAAACACTACGAAAAGCGTTTTTGATGTAAGCTGTCTGGCATCAAACAAGGTTGTCCAAACCAATTTAAGCCATGGGGGTTTAAAGTGGTTGAGCATAATGTACGTGCAGGCTATCATTTTCCTCTGCCTGACTATAAGGTGCCAACAGGGTCTTTGTTACCAGGGTGATTATGTGGGATGTGGTTAAGGCTTCCAGCCTTGACCGAGGTTCCTCCCCAGCCATGTCCGCCTCCCAGATACCGGCATATGCATAACTGAGAAGTAAAAAACCACCCCGTTGTGGTCAATGCAATAGACCCATGCGGTCAAAGTTGGTCTACTGTGGCCCAGCTTCATATGAACGCGGTTGTACTTTGCCATGAACAAAGGGTGGTCCAGACGCAGGAAATACGCGAGGGGTAGTGGATGCCTTTATAAGCCTTACAGAAATGACTGACGTCACTAGTAACTCAGTCGGCAAGAGACGTTTGTGGCCATTTTTAAGGCCCAAGTATTTGGTCGAAGAATTCAGACCCCTGAAAGGCGTGAGCGGTTGGTGCTGCTAGGTAATGGTACCCAAAAACTCGTGATGCTGTGGGCATAGTGCGATACACTGGTCTGTATTAAAGGTTTATTCGACAGTGCATGACACTACTAACAAAGGAATAATTCAGGAACGAACGAAGCAAGCGAAGAATGCCATAGGAAAAGCAGTTTTATATCCTTTTTCAAGCTTCCACGTCCCCCTAAAAAAATATGTAGTAAATGCCGTGAGTATGCGGTAGGAATGATTAGCCAAGTCCCAGAGCAACTTTACATCTTTCTCATTATCACGATAACATGTACGCATAGAACCAAGGCATAGATCTTGCGTTTGTCAACAAAGCCCATCAAACCATTCGGTGTCACCGGAGGAAGTCCGACCTAATGACGACGGCCACCAGCTGTCCCGCTGGATCATCACCCTTTGAAGAGAATGTTCCATCCTTACATGGCGTTTTGAACTGAAATAGCCATCTTGAGGACATTTTGATACAGTTCACAGCCATGCCCTTTTTAAGACCAAAAACCCTCTGGTTCCTGAGTTACACGTCCGCAAAAGTGCAAAAAGGTTTATTGGGAGACAACTTCAAAGTCACTTTGGCTTTGATGTCGTCATAGAAAAGTCATACGATTGCCGTCATACTACAGACTGCTTTCTGCTTAAGGTCAAAATAACATGGGCGCTGTTACGCTCGCAAGAGCGATGATGCGGCACGCATGATGCAATCCGCGGAGGGTGATTGGCTGTTAGTGAGATTTAATTGCTGAATGCGCGTCGCGAACGTAAGCGTGAGCACCTTCGGGATGTGCGGCACTCGTCGTCAACAGGGCATTTTTCCTTATTTCTAGACCATAGGTCAATGCTTTAAAAAGAAAACGTCACTGTCTGCAAAAAGTACGGCACCGAAAAAACAACGGCACTCTCCCGAATGTTATAAAAAAGAAGACGCGACGGCGGGTCTTCATTTTTTCTCCTGCTGGCGTTTTGTTTCTTCTTCCTCTGACGTATTTCGTACAGACAGCTCGGTTGGCGTCTTGTGTACCGGAGCAAAGAACCCTGCAGGGGTTTATGGGTTAGCAAGGCATTATAAAGCTAGGAAATATTACGGCAATTTTAGGTCTATTTTACTACAAATTCATCACATACTGTAGGACAAATTTAAATCCTGAGCGAAACAGTGTGACTCAATTCTCGGAAATTATTGAATATTCTTGAGTTGTGTTACCATAAACCCCCGTTGGGACTTTGTTTTGAACGGAGGTCACGGTGAAATGCGGAGTTATAACTGAAAACCTGTGCGGATATTGCGAGAAAGCCTGGAATTTGACGGCCCTGCGGGTTGCGCAAGTGTGGGATCACACTTAGTTGGCATTAGAGTGTGAATCAGGCACGTGAAATGGGTGTGATCACTGGTGGTACGTGCCAGTGGCTTGTATTGATCTTGTTGTGATGGGGAGTATGCACGCGAGGTTTGTACTTCTGAGAGAGAACATTGTTTTAATATCTTTTGAGCCCAATGAATCCCGATAAAATGTGATACATTGATTTGCGTTTAAACACAAGGTAGTCTTGTCGGCAAACTGAAAGAAACACTAGCACCCATGCTGCAGGGGTGTTCAAAGGTAATTCGCTGCTTCATTATGAAGGAGCGAATTATGCGGCGAGTTATGGTGCGCATCTTCCCAACATTCTGAACCTATTGAAGCATTTAACATGTAATTAATCCATTGCATGTCATAATATTAGCATCTCATGTAGGCAGTACGGACAGGTCAGCACAGCTCATTAATGTACATGCTTGGCATCAGCTCACATGATACAGATTTGCGAAGTTCTCTTTCACTTAAAAATTATGAAAATATAGTGCTGTATTATTATAGACGCAAGCACTTCTGTCTTAACGAATTTTGTATGCTCGCAGGCAATACTCGTGAGTCATCATTATCACAGTCGCTGCAATTTGCGTGAGATTTACTCTGCAATTCACTTAAAAATTATGAAAATATAGTGTTGTATTATTATAGATGCAAATACTTCCGTCTCAACAAATTTTGTATGCAAGCAGGCAGTACTTGTGAGTCATCATTGTCACAGTCGCTGCAATCTGCGTGAGATGCTGGGTGTTGAGAAAGGTAAAAAAGTATTGCTGTTGGGTTCTTGGATAGCATTTAATAATATTTTTATCACGAACCTTATGTGCACTGACAGCCTGATCACTTCGTTGCATTTCGCCCATCTAACCATAACTGCATGCACTTTCATATCTTGAGCATTGTGCAAGGTCAGCAGGTTTGCAGTGTCATTTCACTATATGTAATATCTTTTTGTTATACGTGCGTTATTACTTGTGTGAAGAATAGTTTTGAGTGAAGCAGCCTAATAGCTGCAGCATGTTGCGTGACTGTGGAAGTTAAGGCGTCTTTGCATCTTTGTCACTTATGTTTTGTGGATTCCCAAAACAGGCTGAGCAAGTTGATGTCACTATTGTTTGTGCGCTTTTCTAAAAGTGATTTGAACATCGTATCATTCGTTTTTGGTCAGTCATATGTCAGATGCGGAGTTGATACAAGCATGCATACTTAACCCGTCTTGGAATTAATGTGAAAGCAGTAGGGATTTGCAGTGCAACACCCGTATCATTGTTCATTATGCCATGCCACAGCACGGTACTGAGGTAGCGCCATGATGACACTGTTGACCCGTGCCATTACACAATGTACCACATTGGTTGACTTCTCTCTGTCAAGCCTGTGAGATAATAATGTAAATCTGTGAGGAGTAGTGAACGTTCTCATCAGTATCAGAAATGTCGTACGCCACCAGTAGGTAAGTGGGCAAGAGACGTTTACGGCATCTTTTAAGCCTGGAGTGCATGATCGAAAAATGTAAACTCTAGAAAGACGTGGGCAGTTAATGTCACCGGGTCAATGCACTTAAATGCTTTGTGATGATGTGAGCATACTGTGATACACTGGTCTGCACTAAAGGTTTGCTCGACAGTACATCGCACTTCTACCAAAGGGATAGGTCGGGACGATGGAAGCAGGCTGAGACTGTCACAGGAAAAACTTCTTCGCGTAGCCTTCTTCAAACTCCTGTGCTCCCACACCTCTCCCCCTCGCAAAAACAGCAACAGTAGCAAGTGCTGAGAATGTACGATAACAGTCATTAGCTAAATCCCAGAGAAACTAGTCATCTCATTATCATGATAATCATATACTTATAGAACCCGGGCATATATCTTGCGTTTGCCACAAAGAACATCACGCCATTTGGTGTCACCGAACACTGTCCGATCAAATGACGATGGGCACCAAGAGTCCAGCCGAATATCGTTAATGACGTTGAAAGATATCAATGATGTACATTTTATAAAATAACGAATAGCCGAAAAAGTCTCATCTTGTGCTAGCTTTTTCAGTTTTACGGATTTACTTTACTGATAGCCTGTTGACTAACTTTGCCTACTTCTACCTTCAGCATCGCTCATGTCGACAGTTAAGTACGCAAACTTCCCAAATTTATGTTCTTTAAGCCACTCTGAGCCGTTCATAAGTTTAAATATCACCTACAGGTGAACATTGCTGATGTAGTGAACCGTTTTACAATTCATTTAAGTCATACATCGACCGGGTGGCGTCGAAAAGCCGGGACGGAATACACTCTTTTAACAGCCAGTGACTGGCCACGACACGTTTCCCAAAGTCATTTTGACAAGTCTGGTGAAAGTCAGATATATAAAAATCGTCGAATTTCAGAACGCAAGCTGCAGGAATGCGGCTGTCAGAAACCTCAGTGATGTATGCTTTTATATCGGTCACACTATCCTGTCCTGAGTATAACGTGACTAATAGCGACGATGCATTGATGAAAGTTTCACTGCCCAAATAGCTGCTACCAGTCTGTCACACAGAGGACGAAACGATTGTGTGATTTTTCCCGTTTTTGTTGCAGACTTTAGTCAGGATATGAAAGTTGTGTATGTAAGGTTTATATACGCTTCCATCAGGAACTTGATTCCACTGCGTTTTGAGTGCACAGTGTTGGTAAAAATGTATCGAACTGGCCATAGCCCTCGCAAGCATTTCGTCGTTGTAGGGATAATCAAAGCGCCGAAATAGATGACGAAATTATAGATAATGGTTCAACCTGATGTCACGAGAAGTGCCGATTACTCGGATTCGAAAATATATTTTCCTGAGCATCAGATCGGTGCCGAACACAACAGGCGATCAATAAATAAAAAGTGATATTTGTGTGCACCAAATGGTATAAAAAGACAATACACCAATATCACGAGACTCGCACTGAAAGCCCACGCAGCAATAGGCACATCAGGCTGCACCAAAAGTGCACACACGGATGAATATTCAAGCATCCTTGGTTCGCACTCCAGCAAATGTAGCTTTATTCCAGCCCTGACTAGAGCAGGGGATATTTGTGCGCCGGCAGCGGCACAAGCTTGCCGTCCACGTAGTGTTTACAGACAAGGCGGGCACAGCAGTCGGGAAACTCCTTCCTCCTATCTCCTCGAGCCTCGCGGCAGAACAGATTGTTGGCCTTCAGCTTCTTGAAGTCCACCTGCTTTCTCACCGACGGACACCTGTAAAGTGGTTGCGTTAATTATAAAACCTGATAGGCCAGGGCCATTAAGAAACAGTCAGCGCGCATGAGTTGAAACATAGGCATATTTAAACGTTTGCCATGCAAATCTTGACTTACATTCGCATGTTCACCTTGACTTCACCAAGACTTAACATTAGCATGTTCACCTGGACTTCAACAATTCTGAACACTGGAAATGACGAAGCACTTGGATAGCATGTCCAGGGGGTGAATTTGGGCAACAAGAATTGCACGGTGACGGATGTCCAGGTCGCGACCTCCAACTGCTGATTCATGGCAGCATTTTACACTCACTGGAATCTGTCAATGTAAAGAACGCCGTCGTCCTTGACGCAGTGACTCTGTTTACAGCCAGAGAATGGGGAACTCCAGACATCACCGATGTTGTACTTCTTGTCAACCTGGTTGTCATGGCATTTGGTGTCGTCACCTGTAGAGAACAATGGTAAGTCGAGAGATACCCCCAGAATCTCGCTACCAAAACACAGAGCACACATAGTTTAGCTTTGCAGCTGCCTTGTTCATGAAGAGACACTTTGCTAGCAAGCTTCTACACCGACTGCGAGAACAGGCAAATGATATGAAATGGCTTGATAAAGTCACCAGGAAATCATATCAAAAGATCTTACCTCTGCCAACCGGGAAACGAAGATACCTCGGGTACTGTGCACAGCACAGCTGCACACAAACAACAGCGATAACCAGCAGTTTCCACATACTACTGACTGACAGTCTTGCACTGCAGCTGACCAGGGTCCACTCTCGTCTGCTGTCTGGTCTGGCCACCAAACGCTTCTGTATGCAGTCCCCAGCGGCCGGCTCGTTATATATGCGGCACCGGACTGTGACGTCACGGTGCACAGGGCCGGTCGTGATCAGCGCAGTTTTCCGGGAGGATATCTTCCCGAGAGGCGCTGTTCTAGCACGTGTCTGACGCCCGGCGTTTGGGGGCCTTCACCGTGACGCACCTATTGGGGTCGGACCGGGATGGGATCTGGTGTAAAGACCACCGCACCACAATGCTGCAAACGGCCAAGAAAGGGGCCCATAGAAACAAGCGGAGGTGGGACGCTTCACCAACCGCTTCTCGGATCCAGAAGGCTGGATACCTAATGCCGCCGACACTCGCCTCCGCTCATGGTCCGCCGCGGCACGGTCACGCTATGGCACAACTCGCACATACATCCAGGCATCTTCCATCCACTGTGTTTTCGTAACTGTGGATCATGGCGGCAGGGTGCAAATGCAGCTTTACCCGGGCATTACCTGGCGTGCGGCATGGGGGAATATCGCTGATGGAAATATATCTAAGGATCTCTAAAAGAATGGCGTACTGACGGTACTGCAATATTCTTAAGGTGTGTCTCCGCGATTACACTGCAAAAGAACCTAGTGAGACTTTCTGGTGTTTCCTGCGAACACGCCGGTTATCGATTCGTGGCTTCGTCTTGAGCCTTGAATATGAACACCTTCAAAATTACTTCAGTGTTTGGTGGATTTTGCTGGTATCATTTCAAAATTCTCTACAATGTCTTCGTGTCAGGGTACTGAAATAGTCGTTGGCTGGTATACATACATAGACAAAGCGGGCTTCGGAGCGACGTGAATTCAGACATTTGGTGGTGAATGGAAGGAAACGAGAAGATCACTGTATTGAGGTAACGACATAAGATTTTTCAAAAATAAGTAACACAGAAAAAACAAATAAAATTATTTACAAGGGCTCACGGGCATTTTGCATAGACGTCAGGCTTATAGCACTTTCTAGAAGCACCGTAGTGCTTGCAGTCAAGCCACCACCCGGGGGGCATGGTCCCGGGTGATTTCGTCTAAGGTCCGTTTCCTCATGTGAAGGCAAGATCACGAGGCCCTGTACCCGGCTCGCCCTGGGCAGCTGCCAGCTAACCACTGACCTATGACTGAGACAAATATATCTATCTCTGGGATTCCATTCTGGGGTCTGGCGACCGGACGCTGTTCATCACCGGATTCGAACCCACAATGACGAAAAAAACGATAAAAGCTGGGAGGCTGAAGGTTCTTCTTGCATAAACCACGCAAAATGCTACACCCATTCTAGCTGTCTGCGCCAAAGGGTCATTTTAACTATAAGTTCTGAATGATTTTAACATTGCAACTTGAACCTGTTGAAAGTGCTACCTCGTCCTAGATATTACATGTGCAAACGGACATGCACAACATACGGCAACCAAAAACGCTCGTCTGTTTCCGATGCCGGTATCGTGTGTTGGACATCATGGTGTCTTGGGAGTCCTGGGATCTCAGCAGATTAAACTTCGACAGCACTTCCACAGTCTCCCCACATCTCAGCACGATATCAAAACCCGACCGACCTAATCTTTTCCCAGCACCATTGCTGACAGTACTGGGGTAACACACTCGGCCCACACACAGCATCGGCCAACTCACCCTGGCTCACGTGCTTCCCATGGGCGTCTGGACGAGATAAGACCTCACTGGCGCCGGACTTCTCATCGATGATGACGGTGCGGGGGACTGCCGTCGCGGAATCCTTGCAAGGCCGTCCAAAGGTCGAATACGTGGAATGTTTCCAAGGAAAAAGTCCAGTACATGTGCTGCTATGCAGTAAGCCTGTAAGGAGATGAATTCGTCCCACCTGAATGTGATATCATGCACCTTTACATCAACACCTTGCAATGCTCAGCTGCACAGACCGAGCATTACTAACAGACTGATCGACTAAATAAGGCAGCTATATGCATTCCAGCCCTGGGATTGGTTCGGCCGCACAGCCGGGGGCGTACTGGTCCCCTGAGCGCGACGTGAGCTGTTGGTCGCGGCTCGTGACGTCAGGATGACGTCATGCGCTGAGGCCCGACTCGGAACGACTGGCAAATCGTGATCAGTGACGCGTTACAGTTGCGTGGATTTGTAAGGCAAAAATAGATACAGGGGTGGAAAGACCCGCATAGATGGCACTCGTTTGAAATTCATCGTCCGGCGGTGAGCGATTTTTGGAAGTGGCCTTGATGCCAAGTGTTCCAGAAGACTAATCTTTCTTCCTGGCAACTCACGATGGAGGGACGCCAACGACCGCGTGCAATCCAGGGGTATGGAGAATTGGTGCACAGGAGTTGGTACCCTTCCTGATAAAAAGACTACCCCTAGTTTACATGTAGAGCAAATGAGTTACCAGCATCTTATTACTTTCGCCGGAAATAATATCGGTAGTATTAAACTGTGACCTGATATGCCTAAGCACATTAATAAACAGAGAGCCATGTTTAGAGACTCGGCCGAGGGTAGATGCAGGTCTGTCTTTTCCCTATGACGGTATGTTTCATTTTCGGACTGTAGATGGCTTTTCACAGATTTTTTATCACGATGCAACCATGGGCATTGTCAAACGGGCTAATAAGGGTCGACGACAGGGGGAAAGAGTTGCATCCCCTATTCTCCGACAGGAGAGTATCGTTCGCTCTTATCAGGAGCGAAATTCTCGCAAAGAGGCAAATATTCGACATGAATGACTATTACGTAGATAAATCGTGGGACGATGTCATTAAGATTGAGCGAATGAAGACATGAATTAAATAAAAATACTGGTATGGTGAAGCATATGTTCATTGTTTTTAGTAACAACACGAAACACAGTGGGAATAATTGTGCTGCACTGGATTCAACGTGGAAGTTTCGATAACACCTAGGATTTGCACACACCCCACACTTCGTTCCTTTCATGAGGGATGTGGACCCAGACAGAGGGCCGTCTCAAGTATTGCTCGTTGCCGGCATTATCCAGACGCACGAAAACGTTCTATTGGTAACCAGAGATATTTCTGTTGGCTGCATCGGGGGCATGCACACTTCGTTGCTGGTCGATTTGGAACCAAGACGGTACAAAGAGCCTAGTCGATGTAGCTGGCTGGCAAGAAACCAGGTTGTCCGAAATAGTTATAAATAGAAACAAGTAGAAATAGTAGAATTCATGGAAGTTAAAATGGGTTGAGAACGGTCTACGTGTAGACAATCATTTCCTTCTTCGTGAGAACATGGGGCCGACGGGGCCTGTCTTAGCAGAGTGATTGTGTGGGGATATGGTTGAGGGTTCCAGCCATGGCTGAGGACACTTCCTAGCAATGTCCGGATCTCCGATACTGGAATATGCATAACGGAGATGCCAGCAATCACCCCGTTGTGGTCAATACAAGTGACTCATGCGGGCAAAGCTGGTCTACTGTGAGTCAGCCGCATGTGCACGCGGTTACATGTATTATATGCACGCGGATACATATATGTCATAAACACAAAGGTCGTCCAGACGCTAGAAATCTGCAAAAGATAATGGATGCCTTCACCAGCCTCAGAGGGGCGATTTACGTCACCAGAAGGTAGATGGGCAGGAGACGTTTCGGCCATTTTTAAGGCTCGAGAGTACGATCGAGAAGTGTAACCTTTAGGAAAATGTGTGCGTTTAGTGCGGCTACATTAAGACACTGAAATCCTTTGTGATGCTCCGATCATACCGCGATACATTAGCCTGTGCCAAAGGTTTGTTCGACACTGTATCGCACTTTTACTTAAAGAATAAACCAGAAACGTTTGACTTCGGAGAAGTTTCTCTAATACCTATCTTCGACACCCTAACCCACGCCGTCCAAAAAAGAATAGTGCATTGCGCTGAGAGTATGCGGCAAGAATGATTGGCTAAATCCTTCAGGAACTACACATCACATTATCATGATCATAACGCATGCGAAGAACCGTTGCACAGGTCGTGCGTTTGTCACCAAAGTTCATCAGCCTATTCGGCGCCATTGGATGCAGCTCAACGAAATACCGACGGGCACCAATTCTACAGCTCTATAATCCCCCTTTAAAGAGGTTGAAAGCGATCAGCGATGGAAGTTTTGAAAGGTGGCGGATAGGCGGAAAAAAACTTTTTCGTTCGTTAGCTTTTTAGTAGGTTCAGAGATTCACTTACCTTAGAGCCTTTAGTAACATTAACTTAATGAGCGGTTGTGTGATTTTTCTCGTTTGTTGCAGATCTCAGTCAGGGCCTCAAAGTTGTATATGCCAGGTTTATTCGCGCTTCCATCAGAAACCTGGTTTCCCAGCGTTTCGAGTGAAGAGAGCTAGTAACAATGTTTACGACTGGTGACAGCCCCCACAAACGTTTCATCGGTGTACGGATGACTAAATTGGGGATAATGATTCACCCAGGTGTCACAAGAAGTTCCAGTCATCCGGGCTCGAAAGTATATTATCCTGAGCATCAGAGTGGTGCCGAGCACAACAAGCGACCAATAAATAAAAAAGTGATTATTGCGTGCACAAAATAGCATCGATAGACAATACACCAATATCACAAGAGTCGCGCTGAATGCCCTTGCAGCAAAGCAACACTCGGTTACACCAAATGTGCACACGCGGGCAAATATTCAGACGTCTTTGGTTCACATTTCAGCAAATGTAGTTCCATCCCATTCATGACTAGAGCAGGGGATATTTGTGCGCCGGCAGCGGCACAAGCTTGCCGTCCACGTAGTGTTTACAGACAAGGCGGGCACAGCAGTCGGGAAACTCCTTCCTCCTGTCTCCCCGAGCCTCGCGGCAGAACAGATTGTTGGCCTTCAGCTTCTTGAAGTCCACCTGCTTTCTCACCGACGGGCACCTGTAAAATAAGTGCGTGAATTATAACAGCAACTGGGACAGGCCCGTCAATAAACCTTCAACGCTCCTGGTCTGAAACGGCAGCGAGCACGAACAGAAATCATACGAACCCTGGTTTACATTAGCATGTTATGCACTTCACCAAGCCTGCGGTAATGCTTCATCCGCGGTGGAAGTGACGGAGCTCTTCAGTACCATGTTCAGTACGTTTATTTAGTCAGAAGAATTGCACGGTGCGCGCGGCTGTGCGCCGGCCCTCAAATGCTAATTGGAGACTGCTTTTCATACTTACTGGTATCTGTCAATGTAAAGAACGCCGTCGTCCTTGACGCAATGGCTCTGTTTACAGCCAGAGAATGGAGAGCTCCAGACGTCACCGATGTTGTACTTCTTGTCAACCTGATTGTCATGACATTTGGTGTCGTCGCCTGAAGAGAACAAAGAGACGTCGTTGGTAGGCACTCAGAATCTCGCAGCTAACACATCGGGTGCATTTAGTTTGGTTTTGCATATGCTTGGCTCATGAAAAACCTTCCTGCTATATTCGTAAGCACACTGCAAGAAAAGACAAGCGGTTTCAATGGGATATGTAAAGTCACAATCTTACCTCTGCCAACCGGGAAACGAAGGTATCTCGGGTACTGTGCACAGCACAGCTGCACACAAACAACAGCGATGACCAGCAGTTTCCACATAATACTAACTGACAGTCTTGCACTGCAGCTGACCAGAGTCCACTCTCGTCTGCTGTCTGGTCTGGCTACCAAACGCTTCTGTATGCGGTCCCCAGCGGCTGGCTCGTTATATATGCGGCACCGGACCGTGACGTCACGGTGCACAGGGCCGGTCGTGATGAGCGTAGTTTTCCGGGAGGATATCCTCCCGAGAGACGCTATTCTTGCACGGCGTGATGCCTGGCTTTGGAGAGCGGGGGTGGGGGGGGGGGGGGGGGGGCGTCACCGTGATGCACCGATTGGGGCCGAGCCGAAATGGGATCTGTTGTAAAGATCAACCGCTCCGTAACACCACAAACCACCAAGAAACGCTAGCGGTGGCTAACAGAAACAAACAAAGGTGGGTCGCAGAGGTGCTCTGCAAACTTTTTCCGGATCCGGAAAGCTGGAAAAGTTAGCATTCCGGACGTACCTGCATAATGCTGCCGACACTTGCTTCCATGCATGGCCCGCTGCGGTACGGCCCCGCTACGGCACGACTCGCCCATGCATCCCAGCATCATCCCTCCATTGTGCGCCCGTAAATATTGATCATGTCAGCATGGTGCGAACTCAGCTCTTTTCCAAAGCTAGCTGTCAATATCGCTGATGGAAAATTCTCTCCACAGCCTCACACGAATTTCACCAGGCCTGAACGAGCTTGAGATTGTCAAGCCCTAGCAGGTTTACATTTTCCATGTGCACAGAACACTAATGTTGTCGACTTAGTGGCTTTGCAGGGAACTGGTGGTATTAGAATTGATATGAGGATGTCGTCCAAGATGTCTGCAGAAAAAACCTACAGATATTTGTGCTTTTTTATTAGCATCCCGTTTGATGACTGTCGTTTGATGACTTCATCTTGTGCCTTGAACCTTGATGCATCATGAGCATCGAATCCGATTACTTTGAAAATTACATTAGAACTTCACCGATTTTGCTGACCACATCGATGTTGCATTTTCTACGAAGTCTTCGTGTGAGGCATCTAAGCTGGTCCCTGGCTGATGTATGCGTGGTCTCAGCGGGCTTCGGAGCGATTTGAAACATGCTATTTGGTGGTGGCTGTAAGGAAAGGGGACGATCACAGCCTTGACGCTACGGCATAAGGACTTTCAAAAGCAATTTAGACAGAACAAATGCTGAATGCCTTCCACGGCTGACAGCAGGCTCATAGCACATGCTAACAACACCTAATTGCCTGCGGCGAACCCACTACTCGGGGGACATTGCCCTAGTCGAATGGATAATTTCACCTCAGGTCTGTTTTGCTCACGTGAAGACAAGATTGCGAGGCCCTGTACTCATAGCACATGTTAACAATACATTGTTGGTTGCGGCCAACCCACTACCCGGAGGACACCGTCCCAGTTGAATGGCTTATTTCGCCTCGGGTCTGTTTGCTCACGTGAAAAAAAATATCGCGAGGGCCCATGCCCTGCTGACCCACTGTGGTTAGCCACCAGATATCTTCTGACCTATGGCTGGAACAAACTGACCTTTCTCTAGGACTTAATCCTGTAGTCAAGCGACTGCAAGCCATTTAGCATCAGGTTGGAACTCATAATGCCGAAAAGTCTAGAGCTGAGAGAAAGAGAGTACTTCTTGCTTGCATCTAGGAAAGTACTTCACCCACCCTAGCTGCCTGCACTAAAAGGGTGTTTTATGTTGTTGATGCTGGATGGTTTGGAAATAGCGTATGGAACCTGTTGAAACTGCTTTTTCCCTGCATCTTACAAACGTGTGCAAACGGACATGCGTAGCACATATCAACAGAAAACGCACAACACTTGTTTCCAATGCCGACATCGTGCGTTCGGTATCCTTGAATCTTAGAGTCCCTCAGACCTGAACAGGTCTCACTTCGACAGCACTGCAACAATATCACATCTCAACACACTGTCGAAATCGGCCGACCTCTTATTTTCCAGCATGATTACTGACAGCGTTGGTGCCATTGGCATCAGCATCGGCTCACTCACTCTTGCTGTGGTTCTTGCGTGCGTCCACTCAAGATGGGACCTACTGGCGCCGGACTTCTCATCGCTGACTATGGTGCCAGGGAATGCCGTTGCGGAATCCTTGCAAGGTCGTCTGGAGATCGAATGCGTGCTGCCAACGCATGTGCTGCTATGCACTATGCCTCAAAGCAGATAGCTTTGTCCCATTGGAATGTGATGCCATATGTAGTTGCATCAACGCTTTGCAACGTGCACCCGCGTTGGTTATGCATTATTAGCAGTTTGGCCGACTTCATATGGCGGATATGTGCATTCCAGCCCTGGGATTAACACGGCCCCGCAGCCGGTGGCGTACTAGTGCGGTGAGCGAGACGAGGGCTGTTGGCTGCGGCCCGTGACGTCAGGATAATGACGTCACGCATTGAGGCCCGACTCGGAACGACTGACAAATCGTGATCAGTGACGTTACAGTTGCGTGCTTTTGTGAGGGAAATATAGATACAGGGGTGGGAAGACCTGTAAAGAGGGCGTTTATTTGAACTTTATCGTCTGGTAATGAGCGCTTTTTAAGAAATGGGCTTATCATGAACTGTTCCAGAAGACTAATCTTTCTACTGAGAAACATACGATGAGGGGAAGCCAATGACCGCTTGCAATTCAGAGATAACAAGCATTGGTGTACAGTAGCTGGTATCCACTCTGATAAAAGAGCCCCCGAGTTTACGTGTAGAGCACCCGAGTTATTACCATTTTGTGGCTTTTACCACAAATATATTCGGAAGAATTATACCGTGGCCGCATATATCTAATCCTATGAATAACCAGAAATCCCCATTCAGAGACACAACCCAGGGCGCGATCCAGGTCTGTCTTTACCCTAGATGCCGGGATGTCTTATTTTAGCAATGTAGATGGATCTTGGCAGATTTAAAAAAAAAAAACATCCGTGCAATCATAGGCATTACCAAGGGAGGTAGTAATGGGCAGCGACAAGGGGAGAGGGCTGCATTCCCTATTCTCCAACAGGAAAGGGTCGTTCGCTCTTATCAAGAGCAAAAATTGCAGCTAAAAGCAAATATTTCACTTACAAAACTAATACCCATATAATTCGCTGGTCAATATTATTAACAAAGAGAGAAGGTATACATGCATTTGATTAAAATTATTGGTGTGGTAAAACATTTGTGCCCTCTTTCGGTGACAAAACGGAGCACAGTGGGAGTAAGTGGGCTGCATGAGATTCAGCGTGGAAGATTCGTCTTACGCTAAAGATGAGTGCGCACCGGACATTTTGTTGCTTTCAGGACGAGTGTGGACCCGAACAGAAGACCGTCGAAAACACTGTTCGTTGCAGCTAGTATACAAACGCGCGAATACGTACCATTGGTATCCAGATATAATTATGTTGGCTGCATCGGGGCTATGAACACTTCGTTGCTAGTCGGTTTGAAATTTGGACAGTAAAAAAGCCTCGTTGATGTGGTTGGATGGAACGATTAAATGCATCCGAAATAACTCAAGCATGGAAGATGAAAGGGGTTTGAGAATGGTCCACGTTTAGACAGTTTATTCTGTCTCACTTTATGGCGCCAACAAGACCCATGTCCCCGTGGTGATTGTGTACGGATGCAGACGAGGATCTAAGTCATGACCAAGGACCCTGCCCAGCCATGTCCGGGTCTCAGATATTGGCATATGCGTAACTGAGAGGTCAGGAGTCACCCTGTTGTGGTCAATACAAGTGACGTATGCGGCCAGAGCTGGTCTACTTTGAGTCAACCTGATATGGATGAGGTTATCCTTTGTGATAAACACAACGGTTGTCTAGACACGGTAAATCTGTGAGCAGTAGTGGATGCGTTCGTCAGCCTCAAAGGCATGACTTACATCACCAGCAAGTAGGTGGGCAAAAGACGTTTGTGGCCATTTTTCGGGCTCGAGTGCAGTATCAAAGAGTTAAACTGCAGGAAAATGTGTGCGTTTAGGGGTGCTCGGTTAAGACACTGAATTGCTAGGTAATGCTGTGAACATACTGCGATACATTGGCCTGCATCAAACATTTCTTCGACAGCGCATTGAACTTTTATTTGAAGAATAGACCAGGGACGGTAGGCGCAGGATAGATATTTGGTCAGGAAGTTTCTCCAACAACGCCCTTCGACCATCCCCTCCCCACGGCCCGCCAAAAAACATGGATACTGCTAAGAATGTGCGACAAAAATAAGGAGTTAAATTCCCCATCAACTACATATGATGTTATCATCGCCGCGACGCAAAAACGGCGGCACAGATCGCGAGTTTGTCATCACAGCTCATCAGACCATTCGGTGCCATCGAACGCGGCTCGGCCAAATGCCGGTCGACACCAGTTCTTCAGCTCTATGATCACCCCTTAAAGAGGTTAAGAGAGTTCAATGGCGTACGTTTTTACAAGTAGCGGAAAAGCGGAACAGCCTCGCCTTTCATCAGCTTTTTATTAGACCAACGGATTCACTTAACTGACAGCCTTAAGCAAAATCAACTTCAGCAAAGATTGTGCCATTTTTTTCTCTTTTTGTTACAGATGTCAGTGGGGATCCGAAGACCAATGTCAGGTTTATTCGCGCTTGCATCAGGAACTTGATTGCCCTGCGTTTCGAGTGAAGAATGCTGGTAAAAAATGTATCTGGCTGGTGACAGCCTTCACAAGCGTTTCATCAGTGTACGGAAGATCAAAATTATAGGTGACGATTCGCCAAATGTCTCAAAAAATCCAATCAACCCATTTTAAAAGTGTATTCTCCTGAGCATCAGATGGCCGCCGAACAAAACACGGGGACCAGTAAAAAAAAGTGTTCTTTGTATGCACAAAGCAATATAAATACACAACGCACCAATATCACAAGACTCGCACTGGATCCCGCGCAGCAATAGGAATATTCGGGTACACCAAATATGCCCACTCTGACGAATATTCAGACATCTTTGGTTTGCACTCCAGCAAACGTAGCTTTATCCTAGCCCTGACTAGAGAAGGGGATATTTGTGCGCCGGCAGCGGCACAAGCTTCCCGTCCACGTAGTGTTTACAGACAAGGCGGGCACAGCAGTCGGGAAACTCCTTTCTTCTGTCTCCCCGAGCCTCGCGGCAGAACAGATTGTTGGCCTTCAGCTTCTTGTAGTCCACCTGCTTTCTCACCGACGGACACCTGTAAAGTAAGTGCGTTAATTATAAAACCGGACATACCAGGGCGGTCAACCTTCAGTGCACATGGTTTCAAACGTCAATAAGTACAAACATAATTCATAAGAATCCTGGCCTACATTAGCATGTTGGAGACTTTACCAAGTCTGCGCGCTGAAAATGACGGAGCTCTTCAATAGTGTGTCCAGTACGCTTAATGAGGTAACAAAAGTTCCACGGGCGCGGGCGACCAGGCCCCGGCCTCCAACGGCTAACTGATGACTGCATTTCATACTCACTGGAATCTGTCAATATAAAGAACGCCGTCGTCCTTGACGCAGTGACTCTGTTTACAGCCAGAGAATGGAGAGCTCCAGACATCACCGATATTGTACTCCTTGTCAACCTGGTTGTCATGGCATTTGGTGTCATCACCTGTAGAGAACAAAGATAAGTCGAAAGTTAGCCCTCAGGATATTGCAGCCAAGACATCATGTCGGCATAATTTAGTTTTGCAGCTAATTTGTTCATCAAAAGCTACTTTGCTATTATACTCGTAAGCTGACTGCAAGAAAAGACAAGCGGTATCGATGGGACATATAAAGTCACCATGGTATGGCATTCCTAAACCTTACCTCTGCCAACCGGGAAACGAAGGTACCTTGGGTACTGTGCACAGCAGAGCTGCACACAAGCAACAGCGATGACCAGCAGTTTCCACATATTGCTGACTGACAGTCTTGCACCGCAGCTGACCAGAGTCCACTCTCGTCTGCCGTCTGGTCTGGCCACCAAACGCTTCTGTATGCAGTCCCCAGCGGCCGGCTCGTTATATATGCGGCACCGGACCGTGACGTCACGGTGCACAGGGCCGGTCGGGATCAGCGTAGTTTTCCGGGACGAAGTCCTTCCGAGACACGCTGTTCTAACACGTGTCTGACGCCAGCCTTTATGGGAGGGGGGGGGGGGGGGGGCGTCACCGTGACGTACCCATTGAGGTCGAGCCGAAATGAGGTCTGTTGTAAAGACCGACCGCAACGTAATACAGCAAACGGCCGAGAAAGGCCACGGGTGGCTAACAGAAGCAAACGAAGGTGGGTCGCAGAGATGCTCTGCAAATCGTTTGCCGAATCCAGAAGAAAAAGCTGACATCTTGTGGAAAAGCTGACATTCAAGATGATGAGGCCCACTGACCCACTGTGGCTAGCTACCAGCTAACCACTGACCTATGACTGGAACAAACTGATCTGTCCCCGGGATTCAGTCTTGGAGTCAAGCAACCGCATGCCGTTCATCATCGGGTTCGAAGTCATCATGCCGAAAAATCTGGAGCTGAGAGACAGAGGGTACTTCTTGCTTGCAACTAGGAAAGTACTTCACCCACTCTAGCTGCCTGTACCAGAAGGATGTTTCATGTTGTTTATGCTGGATGCTTTGAAAATTGCGGATGGAGCCTGGTGTAGCTGCTTTTTTTCCTGCACCTTGCAAACGTGTGCAAACGGACACGCGCAGCACACATTGACAGATAGCGCACAGCACTTGTTTCCAATGCCGGCATCGTGTTCTTGATATCCCTGTATCTCAAAGTGCCTGGGATCTGAGTGTGTCTTGCTTCGGCAGTACTGCAACAATCGCACATCTCAAAACACTGTCGAAAATTGGCCAACCTAATATTTTCCAGCTTAGTTAATGACAGTACTGGTGCTACACGCAGTAGCATCGGCTCACTCATCCTTGCTGTGCTTCTTGTGTACGTTCAGACAAGATGGGGCCTACTGGCACCAGACTTCTCAGTTGACTATGGTGCCGGAGAATGCCGTTGCGGAATCCTTGCAAGGTCGTCTGAGGATCGGATACGTGGAATGCCAATACATGCGCTGCTATGCACTATGCCTTAAAGGGGATAGCATTGCCCCATTGGAGCCTTATGTTGTATGCAGTTGCATCAACGCTTTGTAATGAGCAGGTGCACAGGTTATGAGTTATTAGCAGGCTGTTCGTCTTCATATGGCAGATGTATGCATTCCAGCCCTGGGATTTACATTGCTCCGCAGCCGGTGGCGTACTGGTCCGGCGAGTGAGACGAGAGCTGTTGGCTGCGGCCCGTGACGTCAGGATAATAACGTCACGCGTTGAGGCCGGACTCGAAGCGACCGGCAAATCGTGATCAGTGACGTTACAGTTGCCGTGCATTTGTGAGGCAAATATAGATGCAGAGGTGGGAAGACCTGGAGCGATGCCCTTGATTTTAGATGCATCGTCTGGTGATGAGCGCTTTTTAGGAATGGCCCTGCGTGAACTGTTCCAGAAGACTAACCTTTCTACTTGGGAACATACGATGAGCAGACTCCAACAACCGCTTGTAATCCAGTGATAAAAGGATGGGTGTACAGTAGTTGGTATCCTCTCTGATAAAACAATTACCCAGAGTTTATGTCTAGAACATCTGAGTTATCGGTATTTTATTGGTCTTACCGCGAATGATCTCGGTAGAACTAGACCGCGGCCGGAGGCGTCTAAGGCCATGAATAGACAGTAAGCCCAAATCAGAGACGTACCAATGGGGTTGATCTCGGTCTCTCTTTACACTTTGTCCGCATGTTTTATTTTCTCACCGTAGATTGCTCTCCACAGATGAAAAATAACGCACAGCCATTGGCGTTGACAAAGGGGATATTTATGGGCGATGTCGCGGGAGACAATTATTCAGTAAGTATCAAACATCGCATAGTTATTCAATATCATTAACGGCGAGTGGATGAATGCATGCGATTTATTAAGATTACTGTCATGGTAAAGCATTCGTGCCTTCGTTTCGGTGACAACACGGAGCACAGTGGAGGTAACTGAGCCGCATGGGATTTAACTTTGAGATTTTTTATTACAATAAAGATGGCCACACCCGTAGCAATTTCTTGCTTTAAATAAGGTTGAGGGCGTAAACAGAAGACAGACCCAAATAATGCTCGTTGCCCTCACCACCAAACGCGCAAATACGTCATATTGGTAACATATAATTATGTTGGTTGCATCGGGGTATAAATGCGTCGTTGCTGGTCGATTTAGAGCCAAGACTTCTGAGGAGCATAGTTGATGCGGCTAGCTGGCATCAAACATTCCTGGCAAATAATTCAGTCCATGAATGTTGAAAAGTGGTCGACAATGGTCACATGTGGGCAATCTTTCTTTTTTGTTGACCACATGACGTCAACAGGGTCTATATGAATGACGTTATTATGACGTCGGGAATGCCAAGGTGACTTTAATTTACTGGCCGCGATATACCTTTTCCCATTTTCGCGGCCGTGTAACTCAGAGACTAGAGGGGATTACGTCTAAGCAGGTAGGACTGTGAACAGCACAGAAAGGTCTCCAAAATGGCTATTCCATTTCCAAACCTCCTATAAATGTGCAACACTCCCCTTAACAATGCGCTTTTGTCTGTATGCGGATGAGGCTTCCAGCCATGACTGAGGAGCCTTCCCACCAATGTCCGGGTTTTAGATACTTCAATATGCATAGCTAAGATGCCAGGAACCACCCCGTTATGGTCAATGCAAGTGACCCACGAGGTCGAAGTTGGCCTACTGCGAGTTAGCCTCATATGAACGGGGTTATACTTTGTCATGGGCACAAGCGTCATCTAAAGGCAATTAAAGTGCGAGGGACACTGGATGCCTACATCAGCCGCAGAGAGACGACGTATGCCACCAGTAAGTAGTAGTGCAATAGCCGTCTGGGGTCATTTTCAAGGCTCCATTGCTTGATCGAAAAATTCAAACTCCAGGACGCTTTGTTCGTTTAGTGCTGCTAAGTCAAGACACCGAAGAAATTCACAAAACTGTGGGCATTAGATGTCATCGGACGCAATGCAAGCAAATACCGACAGACACCATTTGCCCTGCTCTCTTTTCGTGGTTGGGTTTAACAGGGTTGAAATGGATCAATGATGTAGCTTTAAGCGAAAAGAAAACGGATTGCCGGAAAATGGCTTCGTCTAAATAGATAGCTTCGTCTTCTGTTATCATTTTAGCAGTTTTACGGATTCATTTTACTGATATTCTTTCGGCTAACTTTGCCTATCTCTGCCTTCAGCATCGCTCATATCGACAGCTAAGTACTCAAAACTTGCCCATTTCTTGTTCTTTGACCAGCCTTGAGCAGTTCACACGGTCAAACATCACCTACAAGTGATCATGCTTAATGTATTTAATCTTTGTTATAGCCCATTTGAGTCATACGCCTACCGGATGTCGTTGAAAACATAAAGAATACACTCTTTTGAACAGCCCGTTATTAGCCATGATATGCCTCTGAACGCGATTTTGCCGGGCCAGGTAAAAGTTCTAGTTAGGAGGTTGCCGACTTCCAGGATGCAAGGTATAGGAATGCGGCTGTCTAAAACCCCTTTCATGTATGTTTTGGTATTGGCCTCATCACCTCGTCCCGAGTGCAACAGGACCAGCAGCGACGACGAATTGGTGGAAATTGCGCTGCCCAAGAAACTGCTGTTGGCAGTCTGCCACATACGTGAGAAAGTAATTGGGTATTTTTTCCTCTCTTTGTTGCAGACCTCAGCCATGAGCTGTAAGTAGTATATGCCAGTTTTCTTCGCTCTTCCATCAGGGAGTTGATTTCACTGCGTTTCGAGTGAAGAATACCGGTAAACGTTTATCTGACTGCTGACATCACTCACAAGCGTTTCATCGTTCTACGGATGATCGGGACACCGAAATGGATGACGGCATTACGGACAATTATTCGTCCAGACCTCTCAAGAAGTCTCACGAATCCTGATTCAAAAATATATTTTCCTGAGCATCAGGCGGTGCCGAACAAAACCGGCAAGCAATAAGTAAACAAGTGATACATGTGTGCACAAAACCATATATAAATATGCAATACACCACTATCACAACACTCGCACTGAAAGCCCGCGCATCGATAGGAACATTCGGTTGCACCAAATGTGTACACACGGACGACTATTCAGACATATTTGGTTCTCACTCGAGCAAATGTAGTCCCATCTCAGCCTTGACTAAAGCAGGGGATATTTGTGCGCCGGCAACGGCACAAGCTTCCCGTCCACGCAGTGCTTAAAGACAAGGCGGGCACACCAGTCGGGAAACTCCTTCCTCCTGTCTCCCCGAGCCTCGCGTTACAACAAACTATTGGCCTTCAGCTTCTTGAAGTCCACCTGTTTTCTGACCGATGGACATCTGTAAAACAAGTGCGTTTATTGTAAAACCCGTTCATGAAAATCCACTTTGCTGTCATGCTTGTAAACTGACTGCGAGAACAGGCCAGCGATATAAATTGGCTTGATAAAGTCATCATGATATAATATCAATAGATCTTATCTCTGCCAACCGGGAAACGCAGGTATCTCGGGTACTGTGCATATCGCAGCTGCACACAAACAAAAGCGATGACCGACAGTTTCCACATATTGCCGTCTGAAAGTCTTGCATTGCTGTTGACCAGCGTTCCCTCTTGTCTCCTGTCTGGAGTAGCCACCGAGTGTTTCTGTATGCAGTCTCCAGCGGCCGGCTCGTTACATGTGCAGCACCGGACCGTGACGTCACGGTGCACAGGACCGGTCGTGATCAGCGCAGTTTTCCGGGAGGAAATCCTCCCGAGAGGCGCTGTTATAACACGTGTCTGACGCCCGACTTTTGGGGGCGTCACCGTGACGCACCAATTGGGGTCGCATCGGGACGGGACCCGTTGTAAAGATCGATCTCTCCGCAACACTGCAAACGGCCAAGAAAGGTCATGG